TTTTCCTCTTCCATAAAAAGATTGGGTTCAATCAATATTGGTAGAAAATCATTCAGTGATTGTATCATTTATCGGTTACGCAGCCAATAAAAACTCTGATTACACACAGGCTGAAGCCACGTCATTATTTTTTTATTGCAGTGTTGCTTCACTTTCATCTTACCAATAACAAAATGTAATTTGCAATATTTTGACAAGACTCGTAATAATAACTGACTTAAAGCAGTGACACACTGACTATTCTTGGTTTAAAGTTCATTTGATGGTGGTGAGATTATGTTAAGAAATTATTACGGACAGATTCCAGATCCCGATACTTCATGAACATTTCTATTTTGCCAATCGTGTTGGAAAATTTAATAAATAAAAATTAATAAATAATGTATTTAAAAACGTCGTTTCTTGTAATTTTATTCACCAATCAGTAGCGATAACCAACACCCCAATGTATAATTAACGAAATAGAAATTTACTAATTAACATTTAGCGTTTCACAGCAGCACTCAGTGATAACGGGGAACAAGCATATCTCTCATAGCAAGGGCACCCGCAGGTATAGGTGATGGCCCCTCTGACAGAAAAATAAATTACACAATTCATAAAGATTGAAACTGTCCTGTGAGATTCTATATTGCCGAGATCACAGCCGATTTTATTTTCGCTATAAAGTCACTCACTAGTAGTTAAATCCTTCCAATTTTTCATAGCGGTTTTCACACCATTGATGATGAATTGCGCAATGTTGTTGTCGTTGCGCAAAACTTCCTCCCGCCCGTGGAAGTGCTTATTGTTATGCAACACAATCTGCTAAGTGTTTTAATTAGGGTTCCGGAAAACGGAAGATAATCAGAGGATGACGGGCGACTCACGAGGTGGGAAGGTTTTGATTACGACTGGGCTTTCTATTGTAATTTAACACTTGGCGAGGAAAAGTAACTACATCGGTGATCTGATGGAGTTGGTTGTTTTGTGAAAATCGCAATGCAGTAATGTAGCGTGTTCTCAGGGAAAGTTTTAAGAGACTTAGTTTCTTGTTTTCTATGAAGGGTGTTTTATACCTAAAGATTGGCTTCGAACCACCGGCTACGGAATTATTGAACTAATCCATCGGTGATTGGCTGAATTTACTTATTTCATCCTATACCATTGACGTATGGTCAAAAAACACTTTCTACCATCCCCGTAGCAGCAAACCTAAGCACTCGTTAAATCTAACATTATTAAAATTGGGAATAAAAATGGCTTACTTAAGGAAATATTTTAGTAAAAATGTAATCAGTATTTTTAGTATAAATAAGTAATCTGGCGAAGGATTAAATAATACAAGTAGCATACAACTAAGTAGTACCGGTATTAAGTAATATATCAATAAATTACTCCAGATTGTCCTACCAACCCAAAACTAATCTAAATACAAACTAGTTTTGTACTACATAATCATCTCGCGAAAATCTTTAATTAAATAAAATCTGGCGTAATCTGAGTCTGTGGATAGTGACGGTTCTTCCACTAGTTGGCTATTATAGAAACCTGGAAGTAATGATTTTGCCAATGAGAACATAACAGCTAAATGTGCTAGTTAGCAAACATTGTTCGGATTTCTCTAAGAAATCATCTTTTCTCTTAAGTAGATAATAAGCTGACAAAAAGTCTGCCACCGGTTATTGAGTATTAGACAATTTCAGTGAAGGTGTGCGGGAAATGGCGACGCAGTTTCAACCGAGCTTTTATGTGTTTTCACCTTTTAAGGACTTAAGTGGTCTTTTGTACTCCAACGAGATTCAAATACAGTAGAGGTAAAAGTAGTTGGAACTAGATTACTCAACTCCAGGGAAAGGAAGAAGCCTCGTTTGCGACAATTATGTGGCTGTCAAAATATCCTATCAAATAACATTCAGGCTTAGTTAAAAAAAAATATGTACGTACATTCAGCACTCTATTATTCGACACTAGATACTCAACACACTAATTGATTCTCCTTTATTTATTTATTTATTCACGGTAACACCATTTATACAATGTAGTTAGCATAATCAATTACAAGATGGCATAATTAACAACGACACTACATTACTAATGCAATTATATCAAACAAAACTGAACTTGAAAAAACTTTGGGTAAGTATGATATTCAATGAAAACAACAGACAATAATAACAGGCAATGCAGACAACAACAAAAAAAAAACAATCAATAACAGGCAATGAAAGACTAAAAATAACAGGCTATAAATACAAGCTATATAAATACGGCAAGCAATAACAGGTAATGAAAGGCTATAATGACAGGTTATAACTAATAGACTATAGTACAAGCTATAATACAGCAAGCAATAACAGGCAATAAATACATACAAAAAATAACAGACAATAAAAATGCAGAAGCAATAGAACAACAGGCAATAAATACAGAGGCAATAGAATAACAGGCAATAAAAAACGCTCAATAGAAACTCCTTGGCTCCTTTGCTCGATAGTTACTTAAATTATTGAATATTTACGCATACCGCTTAGTATTTACAGTAAATGCTTAAAACACAGTAGGTATCTCTACGATTAGGGTCCATAAATTACCGTTAACGTGAGTCAGCTATACCAATAACCATATTGTATCCCTATAGAGTTGTTAGTACTATCTAGAGTTAGTACGATACTAAAAATCTGCAGTCTTGTTTTCCAGCCAGGCCACCACTGCAATAACAATCAAGCTGCAACCTCAGCTGACTTCTTCCTTCTCTCAGCTGACTAATGGGCGAGGAAGTAATGGTACAGCGTCTGTAGGAGATTACATAAACACATACTCGGGTCAAGGTCTGTTAGGTAAGGGGCGTCTAGACCCGCCTGCATCTACTAGTACAGTACTGCGTACAGCTGTTGGGGTGCAGACAATTTAATTTAACACACATTTTCGTTTGGAAATGCCTGTATAAATTTCTCATTGCTATTGAATGCTGTTCTTTAATGGATTTAGATTGTATGTACAGTCAGTGGCCATCAGTGGCTTTACCCGATGTATAGGGCACGGGCATGGCTGGGCTAGTAAGTGGTTACCCTAGCTAGGAGTTAGTCTACCGGTCTACCGTAGTGATCGCCTTCGGTTAAATTCTGAATAACGCCAGCTTTTAGATGCGTTGAAACTGGAAGCATATATCCATGGTTACTTCCATTGCCTCAACGATTATTCTCCCTGTAGGATCATGTTAAATGACACTTTATTCGAAGAGGAGGCGACAGACAGCTCTTACTAATGCAGTAGCACTACAAATACTATTGAAGAGATGATGCTTTAAGATAAGAATGAGTGGAGGACAGTACACAATACCTCCTCTTCAAAACGTGGGACGATTGGATAAACTTAAAGTTTCCCAAGGTAATTCACGTGATTCTTTCGTACTCAAAAACTTTAAGTTTCCCAAGGTAACTTACGTGATTCTTTCGGACTCAAGACAAGCGGTCCCAACATGAAGTATAAAGTCAGTAGAAAGTTCCGACCTAACTAGCCGCGTTCATGTTTATGAGTTCCACTCTGGTCCCGTCTGAATTTATTCATCATGCACTTCCTTCGTGTAAAACAGACCTTGCACGACTGGTTACGGGTTAAAATGTGGATGTATCATTTTCGAGAACACAGCTCCATTTAATCGTTTTGGAGCTGCCAAGGCAATATTCCGCATACAGAATACATTGTAGCTATGAATAGGTTTTTATGGTCGTGATCTAGTAAGAGGAGTGTTGCGTGACATATGACTCCGGCGACCGTTACGCAGTGAAATGTAGGTCACCCTAGTTAACACATGACAAAGTTGAAGGTGCGAATGAGGAAGTTACTTACCTTGTTGCATGCTCCAAACTAGCAGTTACTCATGACAGGCTATAGCTCTGAATATACAACAGAGATATAGGCTAGAGAAAGTTGAATGCAAAACCGGGGAATCATATTTGTTGCCAAGACCAAATAGTTACCTACATATATTATGCGATTTATTTGCTCATTATCTCCATGTGTTAATTATTATTTTTTACTTTTAATGTCTTTTAAGATGCTCGGAAACTTGCGTTTTACCTAGACCATAATAAGGTCTTCGAAAATAACCAATACATCGCTGAGAGCAATGAAGGAGTCGTTGAATCCCAGCCGGTTCCTTTCTCTAGGTTCTCAGACAAAGTGTGTAATCGGGGGTTTATTTCTAGAAATTGAGGCACAATAGCTAAAACCTACTGCGGGAGACAAAATCCTTCTCTCACCTCTCACTCCCTTTACTCATTAACAATTAATTATGTTGAGAAAGCAGTACAAAACCACAACAGTCCTCATTTTGGAAGTGTTCACTAAAACAGTTTTAAAATGCAAACAAAATATTCACTGGAAGTTATAGAAATCTCTTTTACTGAAGGTATTCCTTTGAAATTGAACCTTAATACTGGATAGATGAGTATGTTCTTCTTGTAATCAGTAGGTTGCCTCTTGGAGTGATTTATATAAAGCTACAGTTAAAGTCTAAAGTAAGCAGGGCCCGATAGTGTGTATATCGACTGGCTGTTAGCCGAGTGGTTACTGTGCTCGCCTAACAATCAAAAGATCGCCGGTTCGATTCTGAGAAAAGTCAGTAGCTTTTTTATGGTTCGTAATTTGGTCCCAGCTGTTCCCGATCATTGGGCTTTAATTAAATGATTCTGGCTGATGAAACAGCTGATCTTAGCCAGTAAAAAAATTACACAGGTCATCTCACAACATTCTACAGCCCTTCACTCATATTTGAGTTAAAATACGCACCTAGGTGGCGTCCCCATCTTAAAAGATCTAAATAATAAAATTAAAAATAATAACAATATGGGTTGCCAAAACGACCATCAGATCTACTAAAAGTGCCAACAGAGCCACAGAACGTAAAAATAGTGTTCACTGTGATAAGAGCAATACAAGCATACTCTTAAATGGTTACTTGAGAGTCTAACTATGAGTAAATACATTATTCGCAACAGTTGTTTCTTTCCACTTACCCAAGGATGTGCAGTTTAGGGTCGCGCAGTAGAGAGTATGGTCCAGGGACCGGTCGTACCCTCAGCACCTGCAGGGAGTGTGAGGGAGAGAAGGCATCCTGAGGTCGCAGCAGGGACGCGATGTCCTCACCACTACAGCTCCGTGGTAGACAAACCCCCAGGGAGATCTGACGGACCTGGGCGAGAGCAGAGTAGAGTGATATGATATTAAATTCAAAATGGCTTTATCTAGAGGTTACGCTATTGCTGGCACGTCTACCACTTAACCTCTAAAACATAGACTGTAATGAATCAAATAAAAAATAAAATACCTCAAAAAAAAGATTTAATGAAAATTTACTAATCGTGGATAAAAAAAATGCAACCAAACAACCAGCAAAAAACCGGATACAGAAATGTTGTTCTCGTTGAGAGTCAGTATGAGAGCTTTAAGCATAAAATGGGCTATAACTTTGCTCCATGTGTGCATAATATGATATGGGATGATATGATCAATTTATCAATTTTAAATGAATTCTAGGAGAACTCTTCAATATATATTGCAAGTAAAAATAAGCGTTGTGACAAACATTCGGATATTTGCATTTGATGATCATCAGTAGAAAGAGAAAGAGAGTTTTGTATGAGAAGGGGTTTTGAATATTATTTTAAGGACCTGAAGAAGGACACGACTATTTCTTGATCCAAAACCAGGGTGATCCACGATAAGAACAAGACAGAGCTGTGAATGAGCATTTGGTATACACGTTAATACTGTAAATTTAACTGTTCTGTTGGCCAATAACAATGAATAAAAAAGAAAATTGTCCAAAACACGACTTGTTATAGTCTTACCCTAGGTGTAAGTTCCGGAGGCAGCAGCAGTCGGATGATGGCCACGTGGAAGCTGACAAGGAAGGGAGGGACAGCGGTGTTGACGACGGGGTTCTGGATGTTCCTGCATAGCGTCTTGGACCCGAGGTAGAAGTCGTTGCCGAAGAAGAACTGCGAGGAGTAGCGACCACTGGCGTCCGTCACTGAAACAGAAATGTACCAGTTGAAAACGTTTGAAATTTGTGCTAGATAATTCAAGTAGTGTTATTTAGACTTTCGAATCTTAATTTTCGGGAGTTGACCATGTCGTTGGACTGACGAAAATATTGAGTGGCGTTGAATTTTTAACTGTTGCATGTCCCAAATATTCATTACTACACACAATCCAAAACGCCAGCCGTATTTTCGCCAACTTAAAAGACAATAGACAAAGCGTTATTGTAGGCCTACATAATGACCAATCCGGCAGTGACAAAATCCAATGCGATTAGATCTAGAAGACAAAGATTCGATATCTACTTTGGTAATGGAAACTTGCTTTCTAGTTTAATGTTATTTACGTTGAAAGTATCAAGTAGAAATTAAATAGAACCAAACAATAGAATTTGGAAATACAATCATATTTTAATTGAATGTATTTAATGAGCAACATAATGTATAGTTTTCGCTACGTTAATTGTGGTCTTCTTACAGAAAGAAAAGTTCAAGTGTGACTGGATCATGTTCCCAGAACGTTAAATTATTGACTTTAAGGACACCAGGGAAGGATAATATCTACATGCACTAGCCGTAGCAAAAAGTTAAGTGAAGTAGAACCTAGTTGAAAAATCCTCTTAGTGTGGTAATGCCAGAACCTTTTTTGCTCCCTTAATTTTTTATACCATAATAACTTATGTGACATAGGTGCTATAGTTCTAAAATTTATCATTTAGGTTATCAAGTCAGAGAGGTTGAAAAGTGTGTATAGGCACGACCATGTACGACACAAATCTGTTATTGATACCAGCATACTTTGTTGGCTGTTCGATTTAAATAAGTTTATTTTTATTTTTTCCTGGCAAATATTTAATGTGGAAACTAAATATCTACTCTCTATGGTGAACGGTTTCAATATTTTTCTTTTGGTTGGATAATTTAATTTATAATGGTGAAATCCTCCCAAGGTTCCCAAGTCAACACCTTTCTCGGTAAAACACCTTCATTAATCAGCACGATAGAGTCTAGTATCTTAGAGAAGTTCTGGTTTGTCCTTCACACCTGATTTGCATCACCGGGCCGAGGTCAAGGGGCGACTTTCTCTGTTTTGTTGACGTTGTGAAAGAAAGATGCCGCTGATGAAGGCACGGCAGGAAATACAGAAATGCGACGTGGCAAGAAGCAAATGAATCCTCAGTACAGACACAGAATGTTTTCTGTGGTACAGATCGTGTCAATTAAGATAGCGTATGAAAGGGACGAGGGAAAGGCTCCCAACACCGAGAGTGTCATGTAGTTAATGCAATAACAATTAATTGTTGAGATGACGGTACAATATAACAAAAGCGATGTTGACGGTAGTGGGGTAAGCATTCTTGTGCTCGTGCGCATCCACTCTTAATTGACACGATCTATACCTATACCACTCTGATGCGGACAAAATTTCTCCTGAATATGGCATAAGATCTAAATCAGTTTTTTGCATGGACTAATTCGACTGTTTTACACGACTATATACACGTACCGGACAGCCAGGTATTCGGGATAAAGTGTAAACATCATTTCGTGTTCATGAGTACACCATCAGGTCCAAACACGTCATGTAGAATAATCCTTTGAAATGAATACTACTTTACAATTTAAAACGGATCGTTCAAATTTACGGGGTATACGGGTTTGGAAACGGTACATATAGATACACAGGGACGTTAAGTAAAGATATCCACTCAAGACGACATAAAGACAAATGACTCATGAAGATAGATGTAAATATCAGAATCCTTTGTAATTTGACGTAAGTTTTAAAGTACAGTACCAATACCTTGCATGGTCCTTATTTTGAATTTCATTCACTCCAGTCTAGCCAGGTGATGGTAGTCAATTAATCAGGTACACTTTGGGGCATTTTATTTTAAGCTAAAGTTGAATGCAGGGTGGAATAAAATGGAGAATAATTGTCCAGCTCTTTTGATGATTACAAATAAGCTATTTCTTTATGCAGGACAATCTATTAAAAATTTGAATTATCAAATTCAGCTGTGCCCAGTTAGTTTCGAACATCACAGAGATACTGACTTTTCACTAGATCGAACCGGCGATCTTATCACAAGACGACCACTGTAGCCACGCAGCTACCAGCTACCCAATGCCCCTAACAATCTGAGAGATACATGCGCGATGAAATGTTACAATAAGAAAATGCGATTTTATAATTCCTCGTGAAACATTAAATCTAATCGCCTTTCTCGGCGTTTGTGGATTGCGATAAACAAGTGATGTGTTCTGGTAGAAAGTGGACGTTCTGGTAGGAAGTATTGCGTCAGCGACTGCAGAATGCCGTGTCATCGTCGGCGCGAACCCTGGACCCGGGACCAATGTTGCATCACACACGGTCTGTGAGTACTTTGTAAAATTACTTATTATTTCAATTTCAGGATTTTTCAGTCATTTATTATGTTTTGTGGTGAGGTATGGTGAGTCGGTAGCGCGACGGGAAGGTAGGAATCCAAGTCATCGATGTCGTCGATTACTCACCGACAACGCAAGCATTTCGTAGTTGGATGCACTTTACTGATTAAGTTGGTTTCCCCGGAGCCGACACTTATATTCAACACATTTCACTCGAGTACTGTAACGACTCTCTTGCTTTGATGGATACACAAGATTGAGGTCTGTGTGGAAGGATAAATACAAGGCTAAAAGAGGCCACCAACTACTATAAAACAATTCTTTTAATAGCCATCTTTTGGGTACACATGTTTCTGTATTGGTCCAAATTCTGGGTTATGTGGGTTATTAGAATGTTTCAGGCTACTTTCTTGCAATAAAAGGTAATCAAACATATAGAAAGAAATCTGTTGTGTGATTTCACAAATTTAAGACTCACACCTTCAGACCCTTTTACCAGGTTTGTCGGTTGAAGTAGGAGCAAATGTATCAAATAAACTTGGGTTTCTGCTAGAATATAAATCATAGATTATGTTATAAACATGATTTTTAAACCTTAAAACTAGGGTTTTAGTTCAGCCTTTCATTGCATATCTGAATTTTTATTGGTAACTGAAAGTCTATGGGCTCTCCTATAGTATGTAAACAAACCCTACCAACGCGTCCTAACCCTGACAAATTACCAAAGATTGACTGTAGATATAGACCAACTATTGGCATAATCTATGAACACGATGCACTTTTAACGTGGAAATAATCAAACAAACTTTTACACTCATGAATACAGTCACAGCAATACTCAAATTTGGTCTTAACACATGTTTGTGCAACCCTGAAAAAATTGTTCAGTTGAAGTCGAATTGCATAAGAAATGCATGCCTTTTCTTAAATCTCTAACACTATTAAAAGTCGTGTCAACACCATTGTTTTGTAGATAATTATGATATAAATGGATAAATGCGTAACAAGGAAAACTCTAGATTACTTTTGCAACCACGAGTTCTCTGACAACAAAATTCCACGCTTCATCGTTTCTGCAATTTGACAAATGGGCATGATTACAGTCGAGAGCTCTTGTTTCAAAATGCTAAACATTAAGATGCAATTTAACTTAATTGCCACTTTGGCCGGTAAAACTGTGATGGCATACATGATAAACAACCTAGTGACACCCCGCTATTAGTATCCAAAAATTTATTGAGGACACAGATTTTTTACAAAGATTTTTATTTGATTTAACGGTTCCATTGATTTTAGTAATTCACTAATATGGCTTTAAACTTGGATTTTCCTACCAAACTATGTAATCTTTATTGTTTGAAAGTAATATTTTCATTATTTTTTGTTATTTATTTTTATGAAGCCGTTTTTTGAGACCATTGAACAATATCCTCATGTATTTTCTCATCGATAAATATTGAATTTCCCCAGCCGATATTTTTGAAACGGATTTGATAAAGAAATAACAAAGAACAACAAAAATACATTGCAGTCTTCCACAGTCTTAACGGTTGAAGTGTGGTCTTCGGAGGACCATCTTGCCTGTTGATCTGGCCTAGCTTCATCAAGTGGAAATAATTTTAGATTGCTCTGAAGATTACGTAGCAATCCATCTTTGGGGAAATCTAATAAACGAAATTTAACCCAGAATTTTCACCAGGTCAATGAACATTTCCGATTAACAAGTTTCGACGAAAAATCTAGGGGTTAGCCAACGTTTAAAAGTTTACTGTCAAAACTACAACTCTACTTGTTATTTTTCACAAAAACACAGTTGCTGTCCTACATTTAAAGTTTTCCCAAGCTACCAATGGTGTGGCACAGTAAGGTTCTTCACCTCAAATCAAAGGAAGGAGATCCCAGCAATTGCCAGGTTCAGGCGAGTCACGATGACTAGGTAGCTTCTCGTTGATTATCACCGTTTCACAACCAAGCCACTGCGGTCACCCGGGGCCCTTCCTCACACGCCCAACCTGTTTATTTTGCAATCCCTCAGTGTAATTTTGGACAGCCCCATTTACACAATCCGAAATTCACTCTGAATAACGACTGCAGACACTAAAGTTGAAATTATACAAAATGAAGCACGATATGGTCTTATCATTCGTAGAAAATAAACTTCTGAAAAGTTTGTCCTTTTCCTTTTTTCCTTCTTTTTTTCCTTTTCCTTTTCCCTTTTTTTTAAGTTTGTTCTTTTGAAAGTTTGTATTATCGATAGTAACTTTATTAGGCTTGTCCGCATAAATAGCTGGGACAAAAAAATACACACCCTCGTGTGTATTTGTGTATGTGTTGGCAGTGTACAAATCAAATCTTTTTTTTTGTTAGGGGGGTGTAAAATGCATTAGGCACACCCTCAGTCCTTGAGGGTAGTGTGGGAGTCAGTAGAAGTTTAACGGTTCGAAGTCGGTCCAACGTTTCCTCGGTCAATAGGCTTTTAAATGGTCAAGATTAAACAAAGAGTTGTTTATCTTAGTCAGTTAAAAAGCAACGCACTCTTCATCTTACTCTTTTCTACTTCCACCATATTCGGTTTAAAATAATGGTACGCAACTCTGTT